GATTTGCAATATAGTTCCATCTCGTTGCAGAGTAAGTGGACAATTTATATTTTTTTATGTTGTTGGAATTACAAAATGTGTAGTATTCTTTTAGCTTCGTTGAGTTACACAACCATTTAATAAATGTTGTCACTATATCGAACGGTGCTTCCATACCTACATCTTGGGCAAACAAGTTGCATCTATGAGCGGGGCCGTGTATTCCATAAAACTTTCTTTTAATTATATTTCCTTCTGGATTTTTTATCGGAACTAGTTTCATTTTCATGTGTTTAATCATGCCGTTATCACACCCCATATTTGCTGATGCACCATCTTGTGTGTTTCCAATAAATTTGCGCAATGGGAACAACACTTCTTTGTTGGTATCAAAAGCAAGTGCGTTAAAAATCCATTCACACATTGATTCACCATCACTTTCTCCATAATACTCTGACAATATTAGGGGACACTCATAAAAATCAAATTTCAAGCACACACGTATAAAAATTGCAACGAATGTTATCCCATCCTTTTCATATGTATCTGTTGCATTTGCAAAAAAACACAATTTCTAACATCTTCGATAAGTTGTCTCGAGGTTATAATACTTTCACTCTTCAGTCGACGACGTGCACTTCTAAAACTAACTGCAAGTTTTTATATATATCAACTGTTTCTGGAGTCAATTAGGATGAAGAAATTACCAACAATTGTTTCAAAAATGAACAACACGTTTCAGAATAATTGTATTTGGTTGTCAAATGGACGATAGAATAAAATAATGTTGGCAAAAATAATATATGACAAAATAATGTGGGCAATAATAACAAATTAACAAAAGCTCATCCAAATTCAACAATAAATTAAAAACATGCATTTAAAAAACGATTTTTGAAAATCTATTTTTATAAATTATTATTCAAAAAATAAAACTCAATTCAAAATCAGATTTGTAGTTTTGGGGTTAATTTCCAGATAAAATATAATATTAAAACCACAATAAAAATACATTTGGTGTGACTAACTTGATAAATACAACAGAAATAAACATCTTGTGATAAAACTAATTTACCTTACGATACTGTTACTGTTTTAAATAAAACACAAATTTTATTTTTTTGAACTTGATATGATATACAAAAAAACTTACCTTGTGGCGACTCTTTTGAAATGCGAACAGTAAACAAACCAATCACGCAAACAATAATTTATAGGTTTTCCTTTTTTTCTTCAATTTTTAAAAATGTTTTAATTAAAACATTAACGGTATTGGCGTTTTTATCGACAAAACATTTTTTTCCAAAAAAATGTTTTATAAAAGAAAAAAAAGAATCGTAAGGTTAAATAAAGTTGAACAAAAACTATTGAATTGTTTTCTGATTATTATTTTTATTTTTTTTAAAACCGCCTTATAACTTTAACAGGTTTTCCCCTTTATTTTTTTAACCAGACTAAAATTTGCCTTTTATTACTTCTCCCTTTTAAAAAAATACAAGGAAAAAATCTAACCTGTTAATAATAACATGGATCACATTTTTTTACTCTTTTAAGTTTTTTTAATTCACGCGTCACAAGTGCACTTTCATATTTGAAAAATATAACGAATATTAACGAACACCAAACAACAAAATGCAAGATATGAGGTTCGAACCCACGCCTTCGAAAAGACTCGTACCTGAAACGAGCGCCTTGGACCACTCGGCCACTCTTGCTTTACTGAACAAACATTTTTAATATAACTACTAAAAAAACAATTGGAATAACTTCAAAACCAACAACATTTTCATATTCGTTCTGCGATTTTTATTACTTAAACACACAATTTATGTCAAGAATAAATTAATTATATAATAAGTAGCATTTGTGGTCTAAGGGCAGAATTCCACCCTTCCAAGGTGGAGATCCGGGTTCGAGTCCCGGCAAATGCATTTTTTGTTTTTATTGTAAACGTTTTTCTTTCGAAAAACTTATTCCAACACATAACAATATAATATAAATAAACAAAAAATTGGCAAGTAAAATGAATTACAAGCACAACTAATATATAAAGACGAAATGCTTAAAACCCACCTCTCAATCGCAAGACAAGGTGAAGTGTTGCTCT